AGTGATTCTCATCATTGATGTTTTTATCTCACTCTATCTCCCTTCTTCTCTGAAATAAATAAATATATATATTTTTAAAAAGCCAAAGCTGTATTTGGAAATTCAGGTCCCTGTGACCCAGAACTGAACTTTCACAACATTGCCTTAGTGCACAATAGCTGCAGGGCACTTACAGGTCTGCCTTTCCTCCCATCAGGACCACATGTAAACTCACTTCTCATACTGAGGCTGAAGAAGTGAGATGGTAAGTGTGTGGGGAGGTTAAATGGAGGCCAGCATGTAGTGTGGCACCCCACACTAATGAACAGCTAATGATGCAATGACCAGCTAATAGTTTGGGTTTAAAGTGGGTTTCACTGGTCTCCACACCCCCCCCCCCCCAAACACACACACTCACAGCCAACTCCTCATTGGACTGTCTCATGAGGAATTGGTCAAGAGGCTCAAATGTTTGTGAGAAACTGGTTGATTTCTAAGAAATCCTTACTGCAAATAGCTGCAGGGTGGGGTGAACAGGAAGAAAAGAGAAGAAAGGGGCTTTAAAAAAAGGAAACAGTAAGAAGGGGAAGACTATAAAAGAAGAGCCCAGCTGCACAGAGATCTCAACTACTCCACTGGCCACCTCTTCAGTGCCCCCCGCAGCCCAGGATGAAATAGATTCTGCAGTGAAGAGGCTGGTATTGCTAAATATGAGCTACAATGTGGCCACTGGGTAAAACTACAAGGCTGACTGCCTTCCGGAGAACATTGTACCTGGGTAAGTTGTCCAGATGCCATGGACGCTGAAGTGGATTTTGTGGACCTGTGAACTGTACAGAGGAATAGTGTAAAAGGCAGTGACTGTGACAAGCTCATTGTTCTGTTTGGAAGCAGTGACATTGACCAAGAGCTGATAAACAGAATAGAGAGAGCCAGGGGCCAGAGACCGCACCGCTTCCTGCACAGATGCACCTTCTTCTCACACAGAGACATGAACCAAGTCCTCGTTGCCTATGAAAACAAGAAGCTGTTTCGCCTGTATGTGGGCAGGGGCCCCTCTTCCGAAGCCATGCATGTAGGCCACCACATCCCGTTCATTTTCACAAAGTGGCTGCAGGACATGTTGAATGTGCTCTTGCTCATCCAGATGGCAGATGACTAGAAGTACCTGTGGAAGACCTGACCCTGGACCAGGCCTATGGCTACTCCGTGGAAAACACCAAGGACATCATCACCTGCAGGTTTGACATCCACAAGCCCATCTTCTCTGGCCTCGACTACGTGGGGGTGAGCCCACACTTCTACAAGAACATGGTGAAGATGAGAATCACGTGACCTTCAACCAAGTGAAAGGCATTTTTGGCTTCCCAAACAGTGATTTCAAGGGGAAGATCTGCTTTCCTGCCATCCAGGCTGCTCCCTCCTTCAGCAACTCATTCCCAGAGATCTTTGTGGGCCAAGATGGACGTCCAGAACCTCATCCCTTGTGCCTTCAACCAGGATCCTTACTTCAGGATGACAAGAGATGTCACCCCCAGGATCTGCTATCCTAAACCACCCTGCTACACTCGACCTTCTTCCCCTCCCTGCAGGGGACTCAGACACAAAGGAGTGCCAGCGACCCCAACTCCCCCATCTTCCTCACAGACTCAGCCAAGCAGATCAAGACCAAGGTCAACAAGCATGCGTTTTCTGGAGGGAGAGACACCATTGAGGAGCACAGGCAGTTTTAGGGAAACTGCCAGGTGGACATGTCCTTTATGTACATGACCTTCTTCCTCAAGGATGACAACAAGCTGGAGCAGATCAGGAAGGATTACAGCAGTGGAGCCATGCTCACCTGGGAGCTCAAGAAGGAGCTCGTGCAGGTCCTGCAGCCCCTCCTTGCGGAGCACCAGGCCAGGTGCAAGGAGGCCAGGGAGGAGAGAGTCAAAGTGTTCTTGACCTCCCCTCCCCCCAACACCAGAAGCTGTCCTACGACTTTCAATAATGCCCATTTTATATCTGCACAGAAACAACCATAATTTACCCAGAGGCTTTGTCTCATGGCTTCCCGTTCCTGGTGTCTAACTCTGTGTGTCTGTCTGTCCTGTTTCTCCCTGTGTCATCCTTTCCAAACTAACCCTGTGAGCTGCGGACTCCACCCCTAGGAGGACTCCATTGGAAAACATCCCACTGTTCCCTTAAACCTGATGGTTAGACAGCCTGTAGTCTAGGTGTTCATTTCTGGATGTTTAATGGGCACAGGCCTATTTCAGCCCATCCCCCCCAAAACAAACAGAAATGCTAGATGTGCTTTTGACTGAGAGATCTCCCAGCTTGAAAGCTGCTTTTCACACTGAGTATTGGCCCCAGGTGGCCCCTTTTATTAAGTTGAGTCTGTGAGAGAAACTTTCCAGCTCACTTCCTGAAATCCAGACCTCATGTGTTCTCCTGGAACCTCTGCCCTTCCCTGAGCCTCCCCATGCTGCTTCCAGGGACTGGCCCTGAGCACAGGCACTGTGCCCCCACCCTGTGGCAGCTGAGGGGAATGGGTGTCCTTTGTATAAACCTTTGTCCTGACACTTGATTGACTGGGAGGCATTGCAAGGAGCAGTGCCCTGCTGGTGTCCTGGGCTGTAGAGAGCAAGCAGCAGCCCCAGGCACCAAGGGAAACATTCAGTCTTGTGCCCTGTGTAGTCTGGGAAAGCAGAAGAATATCCCAGGAAATCCCTCCATGGAGGTGCAGGGTCCACTCCTGAGCACAATACCCTAAATAAATTTCCTTTGGTTCCACGGGGGGTGGGTGTAGGGGTGGAATATATATATGACATACAAACCATTTTTCCTGGCCAACCCACCTTTGTGGACATCCCATTGAATTAATTAGCCATTTCAGTTGGGAAGAAAGTGAGTCTGTCTGTATCATGTTCAGGCTGCCCTACCTCACATTTAACACCCACATTTTTGGAGTCATGGGAAATATCTGTATGACAAGTCATCACATGGAAAGACATTACAAGAAACAGGGACTATAAGATATGATGATTTGCCTCAGGAATTTTTGACCCTAAGAATATTAAAATTAATAGGCAGATTTGAAAAGGGTTCAAAAAGGTCTAACTACAGTGGGGCCTTGACTTACGAGTTTAATTCGTTTCGTGACAGAAATCGTAACTCAAATTACTTTTATGTCAAATTAAAAAGTGAACGAGTGAGACACGTGATGCTGGGCAGATGTTGTGGCATTCACTGTGACGTTTGCTGCGCCAACTAGCTGTGGGGTATCTGAAGCTGGATTATAACCCGAATTTTAGCTCGCAACTCAAAGCAAAAAATCGGCTGAGAGATGGCTCATATCTCGAAAAACTCATTAGTCAGGACACTCGTAAGTGAAGGGCCCACTGTAGTTAATTTTATAAATATATTTTTACTTTATTCTATTCCATAGATGAGTGTGTATCATTTTTCCTTCAGCTAAAGTGTGGCATCATTGATGTAATATATGTATGACTATATTTTTCTTCTAGATCAGAGGGACAGTGAATTTTAAAATAAACATTCAGATAGGAAATATGTTAGGCTTGCAGGCCATATGATCTCTGTGACAATTCCAATTCTCATGTTGTACTGCAAAGGTAGCCATAGACAATTCAAAAACAATACCAAAGTTACTTTGGTTACAGGTTACAAGTTGTGCTTAACAAAATAATTGTTATAATGCATTATATATTGAATATTATTGGAGTGATACAGTTATTAAATTCTGCACAATTATTTTGAGATTCATCCCATGCAGTAGCTGGCATAATTTTTTATAAATATACTAGAGGCCTGGTGCAAGAAATTCGTTCGCAGGTACAGTCCCTAGGCCTGGCCTGTGATCAGGGCCATCTTCCTCAACTGCCCTGAGCCAGCCCCATCCCACGCCGCCACTGACCCCCACTTCCCCATTTGCCATTGGGTGATCAGATCCTGACGGCCAGGGGGAAGAACTGAGAGGTCAGCCATTCTGCCTGCTTGCCAGCTCTGCCCCCGCCGTGGTTGGCCTCTGTGTGTGAGTCGACTGGTCGGGTAGGGGCCTTGGCCTGGTGCCACTTAAATCCCCTGCCACCCACCCCCGGTTTCCCTTTCACCATTGGGAGATTGGAGCCTGCAGGCTGGGGAAAGGAACTGAGAGGTGGTCAGTGCGCCTCATAGTGAATGGCTGAGCAATCATTCTGGTTGTTCCACCATTAGGGTCAATTTGCATATTACCCTTTTATTGTAAAGGATAGAGGCCCGGTACACAGGTGGGCTGGACAACCTGCCCTGATGGGGGCCCCGAATGGGGTGGGGGGTCCCCACTGGGAGGCGGGGCTGACTGGGGTGAGGGTCTGCGTGTGGTTTTCAGGCTGGCCAAACCCTTGACCTGGGTGGGATCACCTCTGGGGGCAAGGCTGGCCAGGGCAAGGGGCAGCAGTAGTACTGGTCTCTGGTTGTTCTGGTTGTTCTGACATTTTGGTCTCTGGAATTTTATTATATAGGATTTTTACTGATTTTCAGAGAGGGGGAGGAAGAGAGAGAAACATCAATGTTGAGAGAGAATGATTAATCAGCTGCATCCTGCATGCACCCCCACTTAGAATCGAGCCTGCACCCCAGGCATATGCCCTGACCTGGAATCAAACCATGACCTCCTGGTTCACAGGTCAATACTCAACCACTGAGCCACATTGGCTGGGCAACAAGATCCTTTTTAAGTAATTATTTCATTTATAGTTATGTTTAATAAATAATTGAAATAAAAATATAATACTCCTAATTCAATAAAAACAAAGAGGAGTATATGTAAATATTGACTTCATAGTTGGTAAAATACATAACACATTGATGAACCCAAGCAGAAGGTCATTTACAAATTTTTATTAGCACTAGGTGTTAAATGTACAGATGTTGTAGAATCAAATTGTCCATACACAGTGAGGCACTCATGGTGAATTCTGACTGAGGATAAAATGAGAGAGACACACTAGCCAAGTGAGTAGTAAATAGAAAATTGTCTAATCCTCTTCGTCCCCTGAATCCTCCTCTTTGGGTTTGGAGAGGAGTTTCATTACTCGGTGTATAGGAGTCTTCACAGACTCATAGTTCCATCCCTTCCTCATAAACATCTTCTCAATCACACCTGGCATCTTGTAGCCCTTGCTAACAATGAAATCTTTGAAGGCAATTGGTCCATAAAGTTCATCGATAATGTCTGGTTCAAGATGCTTTCCATAGGTCCAATATTCCTTGTCAGGGACGACTTTAGGGTCGGGCAAAGGCTGGTCATTGACTAGCTTTTTCCAGGTTTTGGGGTCCAGGTACCATGCTCCATACCTTATCTTCTCATGTTTGGGTTTATAAGGGTCTTCTGGTTTTCAGAGTTTTCTTTCCCAGTTACCTTCCTGCAGGGAGAATTTTCTCTGCTGTATGTCATCTAGCTGTTTGCAGGGCCTTATATTCAAAGGAAGCTGGCTTATTTTCTTTATTTTGACTGTATTATGGGTGAGTGGGACCTCTAAGTCAATTTCAAACTTTATGATGTCCTCTTCATCAATGCCTATGTCTCCAAAATTATCATCGATCCATCTGCAGAATTCACGAACTATTCTTGCTTTTTGGAACACAGGATCTTTGGGGATATCCATTGTGCATGGTGCATTTGTCTCTTCCTCAGGAAACAAACTGAATAAATATGACTGGAGACTCTCCTTGGCCGTTTCCACGTGGGCTTGGTCTTCAGGTTCCAGGTTGACCTCCTCAGGATGTTCCAGGTTGAGCTTCCAGGGATATTCCAGGTAGACTGCCTGGGGAGGCTCCAGGTTGACCTCCTCAGGATGTTCTTCACACAGGTGTGTGGGGGTCTTCTTTCTTTCCTTGGTGCCCTCACAATACGCCCACGAGTCCTCCAGCTTCCTGTCAAGATCTAGCACTTCCAGGACCCTGAGCAGGAGGTCTGGAGGGAGAGCTTCCTCCAGATTTGGGCAGTTCACCAAGGGATGCTGGTTCAGGCTGGCTTCAATGTTCTCTACAATGGCCTTCCGTGCTCCCTGGGCTGGCGAGAGCTTGGAACACAGGTCCACTCCCTTGGGCGGCTGCCTGTGAATCTTTTTGGGCGGAGGGCGGGGAATTCTATGAGCAATCATGGGGAGAATGCCCTCCTGAGGGCCATGAGTGATCACATCTTCAAGAGATGGACAGCCCGTTCTGAAGTCGTCCACTCCCTCCTTCACAAATACCCACCGCAGGCACTTCCCAAGCTTGTTGTTCTGCCTGGAGAGATAGCGGGAAGGCAACCTGTCCCTGTCCTTGAACCAGGGCTTACATTTCATGCCCAGGGGCAAGGGCACCAGCGGCCCCGGCCCTAGCAGCCACTTCTTGCTGGGCTCTGGCTTCTTGTCCAGCTTTGAACCTGACTGCCACCGCTTGATCAGCCCCGACTCTATGAGCGCCTTCTTCCTCAGGTCCGACTTTAACAGCCACCCCTTGTGGGGCTCAGGTAAGGGCTACTGCTGGCATGCCATGGCGCCCTTCAACCAGGGTGCCCAGGGGCCTCAGGGGTTTGTTGTCCCAGCGGCCTCGTTGCTAGGAGACCATTGCCAGGTGCTGACTCATTCTTATTCTTTCCCGATGGGGGTCAGCACGCGCCCCTGCTCAGCCTGCATTGGACCGGGATTGCTGGCAAGGTTGCATTCTTGCTTGTGGCACACCATAGGTCAGCTGCCCATTCGTCTTTTGATGGACTTTTGGATTAATTCCTGTTTGAGGCTGTTTGGAAATCAAGGGGCCACGAATATTTCACGTGTTCACATCTTCATACAAGTACTTTCATTTCTCCTGGTTAAATAGGAGAGCAATAGGTAGCAATTGATAGGCGGGGGCTTCTGAGAGGCGTGTTTTTTCTTATGACTCACAGCCCTCAGGTTTTCATATTTGCCCAAATATGGGTGAGGTGAGTGAGGCATTGGGTGTACAACTTAAGGTGGCACCCAAAAAAACCCCTCAGAAATGAAGATCAGTTATCTTTTATGTTAACATTTTCAACAATATTCAGGAAAACAGTGCCATATTAAAGCCCAAGGGCAAAGGATAGATCAGTGTTCCTACTACTGATCCTATTTTTATTTAAAACCCATGTGTTGTTCACCATTGATTTTCTTTTTACAAATAGTATTTGCCTTTTTTGCATACTGTTATGTTGCTTGGAAACAGTTTGATTCTTTGGGGTCCATTTTAAGATTTAATTGAAATAAACCCAGCAGTTCCCTGTGATAGTACATGGCTAAATAACGTTATACCATGTTGTATGGTTAACTGTTCCTCACTCCTGCAGCAAGACCCTTCCACATAAATTATTCAATGCCTGTGCATCTAGAGGTTTTCTAGTCTAGCTGACAGTAAAGGTCGCTATTGCAGGCCCTGTGTATCAGTTATCAAGAATCCTTTCCAGTGGTTTCTTTCCCGGCTTCTAATAATGTATTCACACACGAGCTGATCAGTAATCAGCTGAATCATTCCTGTGGGGTGCAAGATTCTGGAGTTCCCTCTCTTTCTCTCATTTTCCTCTCTGGTTGTCTGCCTTGAGAACTCTACCCACCTTGTTCTCTACGGTGTCTTAGCTCCAACTCCTCTATAAACTAGTAGCGAGACTGCTGTTCTTTGCCTGGGTTCTGCCTCTCTGAGCTTTGGCCTAGAAACTCAAAGAATTTGAAGCAATCATAGGCCTCACCTCATTTATTTCCTATCTGTGAGGGGTCAGTCTCTGCTTCCTGATGTCCAGTGTCTTTCAAAATTGTATCTTATTTTCTTCCCTTTCTTTTCAGATGTTCCAGGGCATATATCTGATCCCTGTTACTCTACTTTGGCCAGAACAGGATATATACTTTACAGTTTTTGTTTTTTCTCCATCAATCAGTGAGTCTGCCTTTTGAGGGTCACGGAAGTCTTCTAAGCCATCGAATACCTTAAATTCTTGCTGTTCTCCATGATTAGAAATTGTAGATCACACCCGCATTATTGAAACAAATGCCTCTCTTACAATCCTTACCAATCTATTTTTTTCCCCTAATACTCAGGATACTCATCTACTTTACAATCCATGAAATACATACCAAACTCAAGAGCATATAACATTAGGTGATGCAGCATGGCTCTTTTTTCTTTTTTGGTCATAGCCAATAATACTTTAATACACATATTAGAGATTAGATATAATTCTTCACATGATTTCACTCATTGGTGAAATCTAATGAACAAAATATACTGATGAATAAAATATATCCAGAAACAATGTCATTTTATTTTTAAAAAAACAAAACTAAAGATGAAAACTAATAGGGGAGTTAGTGGAATAATCTGATGTTGAAAAATTTTGCTACATTACTAGGTATTAGAAATGTTTTTATTGTGTGTTCGTATAAGTGATCAAAGTGATGGTAATAACTACCTGTGAGTCATAACCTTCACATGCTCTCTATTACTTTAAGAAGCAAAAAAATGGGACAATTGAGAATGATTAGCATTCTACCTCAATTATAAGTCTTTAGGAATATTTGTTTTGGGAGATGCTAAAAAACTACAGCAGGCCTGTTTTCAATAGCCATAATTTCTGATGTTAACTGCCATAGCCAGGTTAGGATGGATCCTTGGAAGACGCTGATTTGCATAGATTAATGTAATCTCTTGTATTTAAGAGTGAAGAGAGCTCTGGAAACATTACTTGGAACACCTGATGCTCATTCATTACATTTCACTTGATAATTTTAATAATGGGTATATGTAATTTCTGTTGTACATCTATCTTTCCTCTTTGGAAAAAGTATATGTCATATGACAAAGGGGACAATAGTGTACTTTTAAAGGTGTTTGAATATCAGCTGTTTTCCTATACTGGGGCATTAACTTTAGGCTAATTGTCTTTTTTTATATGAAAATATCACTTTTTTTTCTTGATCTATAATGGTGGTATTCTCCCTGTGCTTAATACTGCAAGAAATAAAAATGTTAATAATAGTAATGATAATGATAATGATAATGATAATTTACAGGCAATGATTGCTAGAATAGACTGAGTTCCCATTGAATCATGATCGCTGATTTTTTATTCCTCTGCTTCATATTTTAACTCCTACAGCAATCTTAAATCATCTTAGCTGTGTTAATATATTTAATTTTATTTCATTGTTTTGCAATCTTAACCTGTCTCACTTAACACTTACTCAGAAAGAATGTACTTCAAGGGTGAAGTCTGAAGAAAATCTTTAAAATGGCAAAACTTATTTTTACTAGCAAAGAATTGATGGGAATTTTATTATGTGTAAGTCCTTAGTTCTAAGTTGGGACTCTTGTAGACAGCATATATATGGGTCAGGTTTTCTTATCCACTCAGCTACCCTATGTCTTTTGGTTGGAGCATTTAAGCCATATTCATTCTAGTTTATTATTGATAGGTACTTATTTATTGCCATTCTTATAATTTATATCCCTGTACATCTCTTTCTATTACTTCTTCTTGCAACAGTCCCTTTAGCATTTCTTGTAGTTTTGGTTTGGTGGTAATAACCTCTTCCAGCCTTTTTTATCTGAAAAGCTCTTTATGTCACCTTAGATTTTTGAAAGATAGCCTTGCTGGATAGAATCTTCTTGTGTTTATTCCCTTAGTTTTCATTACCATGTAAACTTCATGCCATTCCCTTCTGGCCTGAATTATTTCTATTGAGAAGTCAGCTGACAGTCTAATGGAAGCTCCCTTGTAGGTAACTTTCTATCTCTCTCTTACAGCCTTTAATGTTTGCCATTTTAATTAATATGTGCCTAGGTGTGGGTCTTTTGGTGTTCAATTTGATTGTGACTCTCTGTGTTTCTTGAACTTGAGTGACTTTTTCCTTCACCAGATTAGGGTAATTTTTTGCCCTTATTTCTTCTAACAGGTTCTCTTTTCCAGTCTCAGATTCTGCTCTTAATGGTACCTTACAATGTGGATATTGTTACATTTCATGTTGTCTCAGAATTCCCTTAGACTCTCCTCCTGCTCCCCCCCCCTCCATTTTGCTGCTCTGAATGAGTGTTTTTTCTGCCTTGTCTTATAATTCACTGATTCAGTCCTCAACTTCTTCTAGTCTACTGTTGAATCCTTCCAGGGTGTTCTTTATTTCAGCTATGTCATTTCTCATTTTCAATTGATTCTTATGTATTGCTTCAAGCTCTCTTTTCATGTTGGTGTATCGCTCATTAAGAGCATTACATAGCCCAACTGGTATGCCTCAGTGGTTGAGCATCAATCTGTGAACCTGGAGGTCAAGGTTTGATTCCTTTACAGGGCATATGCCCAAGTTGCAGGCTTGATCCCCATTGAGGTGTGCAGGAGGCAGCTAATCAATGATTCTCTCTCATCATTGCTTCTCTCTCTCCCTCTACCTTCCTCTCTGAAATCAATATATATGTATATATATTTAAAAGAGCATTATTTGTCATTAAGTTGCTTGTCATTCTCAGTGAAAATTTTGAGCACTCTTATTAACATTACTCTGAATTCTTTTTTAAAAAATATATTTTACTGATTTTTTACAGAGAGGAATAGAGAGTTAGAAACATCGATGAGAGAGAAACATCGATCAGCTGCCCCCTGCACATCTCCCACTGGGGATGTGCCCACAACCAAAGTACATGCCCTTGACTGGAATCAAACCTGGGACCTTTCAGTCCGCAGGCCGACGCTCTATCCACTGAGCCAAACCAGTAGGGCGACTCTGAATTCTTTAATTTAGCTTATTTTCTGCTGATTCCTCCTTTTCTTTCATGTGAGGATTGTTTCTTTGTCTACCCAGTTTTGCTGTCCCTTTGTTTTTGTTTCTGTGTATTAGATAAAACTATTCTGCATCCCAGATTTTGTGGCTGAGAGTCAACCTATGAACATGAAGGCATTTTGTGGGACCCAGGAGTGCAGTCTCTTACATCTCCTGAGCCAGGTGCTATAGGAAAGCCCCTTACTTGAGTTATGTGGGTTCTCTTGCTGTATTTGGGTCTTGCACATTATTGTCCCTTTCGTTGATGGAGTCTCCTCTTAGGCTAGCTGACTACGTGGTTCACCCCTAACCATTTCATACAAGTTCTTGTGGAAGTGCTGACCAAACAGAATTAAATACATCACAACAAAACACAAAACAGAAGAAACAAAACAAAGATGTACATAAGACCCTTACAACACCCAAATAAATAAATAACAGAGAAGAGAGATTTAGTAAAAAGAAAAGTGGGTGGGGAAAAACTAAGATGGCGGCATAAACACCGGGAAATTGCTGCCTCCCACAACAACTTCAAAAAAAACAACATAAAGACAAAACAGACATCATCCAGAACTACAGGAAGGCTGGCTGAGTGGAAATTCTACAACTAGAAGGAAAGAAAAGCACGCTGAGATCCAGAGGAGCTGCGGAAGTAAAGTGCAGAGGTACGGAGGCTCGCACGCGCAGAAGGGGGCTGGCACCTGAGGACGTGGTTGTCTTTTTGAATCGGGAGGGAGTCACAAGCTCCGGACTGCTCTGAACTCTGGTTCCGGGAAGTCTCTGGGGACCCAGGACTCATACGGGGAGAAACTGGATTGTCTGGCAGCAGGCAGAACTCGGAACTTGAGGTCAGCTTTCCCTCAGAGGTGCTTGCAGAAATTACCGGGACACTGAGATGCACGGCCCCTTAGGGCAGGGCTGAGAATCTGCCATAGCTGCTTGCTCCGCCCTTTGATTCCCTGAGACCCCGCCCCACCCAGGCTGCAGCAGAGGCTTTTGCATATGAATGCCCCGGCCCTTTGCAACCTGAAAATTACCTAACTGCAGCTGGGCCAGACAGACCCAGAACTTCCAAGAGAAGGCCCAAGGCCCCACAGTGGCTTGCATTGCTTCACAGCTGGGCCTCATCAGGGTACCTCCAAACTCCAAAAAAAGAAGGGGAATCTGCAGTTCTCTTCGTAGCTCCTGCTGTGTAACCTCAGGCAGAGGCTAAATTAACACCTCCTTAGATCCAAGACCCAGTGTACCCAGTTGTCAGAGGGGGACCATCCGGATTACAACTCCTCAGATCCATAAGGGACACACTCAGGGTGCAGACTCAGTGAGCACCAAAACTCCACTGAAGCAAGTCTTGCCCCAGAAGGGTGTCTTCAGCACAGAAGTTCTCCCACTGCAGACACAGCTGATTCTCACTGCCAATTGGCCTGGAGGTCAATTCCTCCCAGTGATCCTACAACAATCAAGGCATAACTACAACAAGACTGTGCAAAAAGCCCACAAGGGGGTACACCAAGAGTGTCCACCTCAGGTAATTGGGGAGGCTGAGCCACTGGGCCCTACAGGACACCTAGCACACAAAACCACTCTACTAACACAGGGAAGCAGCCAAAATGTGGAGACAAAGAAACAGGTCACAAATGACAGAAATGGAGGAAAGCAAATGACTGGATATAGAGTTCAAGGCCACGTTTATAAGGTTTTTCAAGAATTTTATGGAAACCGCCAATAAATTTAGTGAGACCCTCAAGAAATCTAGTGAGACTCTCGAGGATATGAAAAAGGACCAACTAGAAATTAAGCATACACTGACTGAAATAAAGAATAATATACAGAGATCCAACAGCAGACAAGAGGATCCCAAGAATCAAGTCAAAGATTTGAAATACGAAGAAACAAAAAAGACCCCACAGAAAAAGAAAAAAGATTCCAAAAATATGAAGATAGTGTAAGGAGCCTCTGGGACAACTTCAAGCGTACCAACATCAGAATTATAGGGGTACCAGAAGAAGAGAGAGGGCAAGATATTGAAAACCTATTTGAAGAAATAATGACAGAAAACTTCCCCTACCTGGTGAAAGAAATAGACTTCCAAGTCCAGGAAGCACAGAGAACCCCAAACAAAAGGAACCCAAAGAGGACCACACCAAGACACATCATAATTAAAATGCCAAGAGCAAAAGACAAAGAGAGAATCTTAAAAGCAGCAAGAGAAAGACAGTCAGTTACCTACAAGGGCGTACCCGTACGACTGTCAGCTGATTTCTCAACAGAAACCATGCAAGCCAGAAGAGAGTGGCAAGAAATATTCAAAGTGATGAATGCCAAGAACCTACAACCAAGATTACTTTATCCAGCAAAGCTATCATTCAGAATAGAAGATCAGATAAAGAGCTTCACAGATAAGAAAACGCTAAAGGAGTTCATCACCACCAAACCAGCATTATATGAAATGCTGAAAGGTATTCTTTAAGAAGAGGAAGAAGAAAAAGGAGCTCTTACCATTTGTCACAGCATGGATGGAACTGGAGAGCGGATAAATATCACATGATCTCACTCATTTGTGGAATATAATGAACAACATAAACTGATGAACAAGGACTGATCCAGAGACGGAGAGGCATTGATTGGACTGTCAAGCCTTGGAGGGAAGGTAGGGGATGGTGGGGGTAAGGAGGAAAGATCAACCAAAGGACTTATATGCAAGCATATAGGCCTAACCAATGGACACGGACAACGGGGGGGGAGGGTGGTGAGGGCATGAGCAGGGGAGGGGTAGGGGGTAACGTGGGGATAAGGACACATATGTAATATCTTAATCAATAAAAAATATATAAATAAAAAAAATCATTACCGGTGGTAGAAATAAATTTTTAAGAAAATACAAAAAAAAAAAAGAAAAAGTAAAAAGAAAAGTGGGTAAGAATTATTGAAAAAAAGAAAGAAAAAAATGTGGAGCAAACATAACAAATAAACAATCAAAACAATGCATAGGCAAAAACTCTAAGAAAAGGGGGGTATAGAATACATAGATACAGAGCTGTAATAAAGAAAATAAGAATAAATAATTATAGGAATAGGGGAAGCAAAATAGTTTAAAATAAAGAAGGGAGAAAAGAAATGACAAGAAAATACAAAAATTTTGAAAAGGAAAATAGAGGAGAAAGGAGATAGATCTAAAATAAGAATAAGAAAAATGATGAGAAAGCAGGCAAGAAAGAAAATGAAAAAAAAAATGTGTAGTGAAAAAAAGTAAAAAAAAAAATGAGTAGGAAAAGGGAATAGGGTAATTAGATATATGAATGAAACAACTGACTAGCATAGTAACAAATCAATAAATAAAACAGATAACAAAGGTAAATTTTCAAAAGAAAAAAGAAAGGAATGAGAAAAAAATTACAAAAAGAGAAGAGAAAAAGAAAAGAAATAAAGGAGAAATAAAAAAAATACTTAAAAAAAAGTAAAGTGGTGTTCCTTTCAGTGGAGTTTAGTGCTCCATGGGAGCTCCCTTTGGATCCCACCCTTCTGTTCTGTCTGCCACTTCTGGGCTTCTTGTCAAGTACTTAGATGCTAAACACTGTTAGGAACTGTCCTCATTTGGCTTTCAGCAACCTGCTTGAAGCTCCAAGAGATTCACTGATACACTGTTTGTGTCTGTCTCCACAGGCCTTGGCTGCAAGTAGGAGGGGCCAATCTGCCCTCTAAAGTTGTTTTTTTTTTTTTAGCAGAATGGGGCCTAGGGAAACTTCCCCTGTTCCTTGGGCTTCATCTCTGCCTGCCTTTGCCTGCTAGCCAGCTGTCAATCTTAATCACTCAAAACTCTGTTTTTGAAAGGATTTTAGATGGGCGAGGTGCTGTTTAGCTTTCAGGGAATATGATGGGTGTTTTTCCCTGCTCCATAGCTACTCCTCTATCAGTGGCCCAAAATATTACTCTGCCCTAGGCTTCACAGAGATCCCTATATGGAGACCAATGGGGTCAGCTGGAAACCTGGAGGTTTTTGTTTTTTTTTTTATCAGCTCTCCCATTCGGGGAAAGTACCAGTCTGGTTCCCAGGATATTGGCAAATGGTCCTTCCCCAACCCCAACGCTGAGGGCTCCTGAGACTTTTCAAACCCATAAACTTGGCTTCTGCTTTTGTTTCCTCTGAAAATATCAAAATGCAGGGTGAGGCATGCAGGTCTTCTGAGGGTGGGACAGGTTGTATCACCTAGGG